TCATCCCGCCCCCTTGACCTGTCCGTCCTCCCTGGACTGACCTATCCCCTTCCTAACTCCCTACCTACACTCACCTTTACTGGCTCCATCCCCGCCTCTTCGACCTGTTTGTTTCCTCTCCACCTATCCTCTCCTCTATCCCTCTTCTATCCGCCTCCCACTCTCTCCCTATTTATTTCAGAACCCCCTTCCCCTCCCCCTTTTCTGATGAAGGGTCTAGGCCCGAAACGTCAGCCTCTCTGCTCCTATGATGCTGCTTGGCCTGCTGTGTTCATCCAGCCCTGCACCTTGTTGTCCGTGATGCAGGACTCTGCTTTACAATCTGTTTCCGGGGATGCACAAAAAGAGAAACATTGACTGCACCTGGACGGCCATCAACTGAGTGAATGATGCTCTTTGGTCTGTCTGAAACTTGCAGTGCTTTCCAGAGCAAGGAGTTGGCCTCGATGGAGTGTTGCAGACTGGCACATTCCAAGGTCTGGCACTATGCTGTGGGATGTATTAAAACTTGGGGCAGCTGCTGCCAAGGCACAGTGGGGAAAGACCACCATCTGGGGTCTTCCTGCCGAAGTTAAATGGGGGTCTGTGCAGTTATCGGAACTTCCCAGTACCTCAGATATAATCTTGCACAAGTAAGAAATGCCTTTGGTTTGTTTGCTGGATACAGTCAAAGTCCAATGTTTGTTTGTTCTTGTATGTTCTACTATACAGAATCGAACTGCTTCTGTGGCTATGTACATTCATATTTTATTGAATAAAGTATATTTTTGAAATAAAAAAAGCAAGCTCAACTCAGTGAAATATGACACCACAGTTACGAGCATTCTGGTTCAGTTTCAGACAGTTACCGCGGAGAGGGTTAGCATCTATGCCCTGAAAACAGTAGCTTTGGTCATCTTGGACTTTTCCAAGTTGAGTTTTAGGTTGGTATATAGATTCAGATTTGAAGTTCGCAGATGTCAGAATTTAGAGGCCAAGTAAAGGACAGAACTTAATGGTGAAAATAACAACCACAAAAGCAAACATGTCACCACCAAAAGCAATAGTTTTAGAATGAAACTGGGTGTAAGAATAATGAAGTTTTGTGGTGTTTAGTTTGGTTTAGTTTGCTTGGATCAGTGGCGCTTTAATTCAAGTCACTGAATGAATTCAATAATGTCCAAGGTCAGATAGGCTGCTGCATGGTAAATAAATAGACCAGCCAATCTTCTTCTGTTCGAGGCTTTCTGTAACAATTCATTTATCCCCTCTCAATGTCATTATAATTACTTTGCAGATTAATGTACCAGCAGAGGGAGCTAAGGTAGTTTTCTATATGACCATAACAAATAATAGGAAAGGAACCATACATATTGTTACAGTATCTTGATTGAATGTCCCTGAGAGAGGTGATAAATAAGTTGCTTAAAGAACTGGCTTTTAAGCAGAAGATTGCAGGAAGAGAGGGAGTGAAGAAAAGGAGGAAACACCAAAGAATCTGTGAGTGAGTGACTGTCCCTCTGAACAGGAATGGCGAGTAGAGACTTTTGACTTGGGGAGATCGTTGCTGACTAGGAATCTCTCCCGCTCTTACCATTTGCCATTGGCAGAATAGGAAGGGTTTACAGATTGATATTCTGTTTGGTCATGTCATGACACACCCTCTGTCAGCAT